ACTAAACATCCTACAGTATTTTTACAGTCTTTATTTTACAGTTAAATATATGTTTATCAAATAAAGTGTAATGTTACAACTAATCAGGGATCCCTTTAAACTAAGAAAATTGTATGTTGAGAAAAGAAAGTTATAGACATTTTGGTCAAACCTTATGAATAGCTTTATGAATTATGTCAGAATTAGGAGTATTTGTTGAGAATGACTTTGCAAACAACAAGAGTAGCACACACAGCACATTACACAACTGTCAAACTACTATTCAGTAATGTGTCATGACCATTTATAACCTTTGACCTTAACATGTACCCCTGACCTTAGAGCTGCCATAATGAAAAGAGTATGTGACACTGTCTGGTAATGATGCATATCTGCATCAAATTTACTGTAGCAGGGTATGAGTGTTACTCACAAACTAAATATCACACTTCTTTATAACAATAGTTAGCTGTAGCACTGAATGAGCAATGATAAACAGCAGCTTTAATGCTTCCATGTTAATTATACCGCCCACTTTTAAAAGGCGGTACGGCCTAATTTGCATTGACAATACTGCCCACAAGGGACACACAAGTCCCCTATACCTCATCCTGGCTGCCATCTCTGAACGCCCTCTTCTTTTCATTCAGAATGGTCTTTATTTACCCACCGCTTGTTGGTTGTGTAACAATTTGTGTCTTTAGCAAAATATCTCATAACACACTGGATGGATTTAAATGGCCCTTTCAGAAAGTAAAAGCTGGATGTACACCACAACCAGTGTCTTTAACAAGAGCTAAAGTTTAGAGTGGTAGCAACTGAGCATGATCACTAACACATTCTTCAAACTCTAATCATTGCATGACATTTTTGCACAAAACTCTGGTATTAACTCTCACAAAGTGATCATTAAACTTGCTGTAGATCTACAACCTATTATCTTTTGAGGTCACATTAGTTCATTATAGCCACTGCAGCTAACCAACACTGGACTAAAAATACCTGAGTAAATTAACAGATACTGAGTTTGGTCTGTCTGTAGCTGCGTTTCCATTGACCATGAAAATGCGCAAATTAGAATTTCGAAAATAAATTTGCTCAATGGAAACACATCAATTTTGAAAAAAATTACGTTTTTCGACAAGATGTTTTTGTACTAGGATGAGGTGGTTTTTCAGCCGTATTGAAATTGGTGTTTTTCGCAAAACTGCAATGGAAACACTTTTTCCTCATCACCGGAGTCACGTGTTTCTACTGGTGAAAAAGACGATGACGAAGAAGTTAACAGGAAGTAGAAGTAGTAGTAATATCACAGAAGTAGTTTAAAATAGTAAACTCACGGACTACAATTTCTCAAAAACACAGCATACATAGCCGCTCCCAAGTAGGGACTTGTCTCTGGAAAGCCTCGATAAAAGACGCCGACGTCTCCTCTGATGATGAGCGCTAGTGTCGTGGTAGCAACATGCTGTGTTTACATCCATCGCCGCCATGTTTGTAATGACTTATCATGAGAACAAACGTATTCACGTGTGACTTTAATAGCATTTCTTACTTAATGGAAACACCACATTTGCGAAACTGTGTTTTTCAACATTAACAGAATATCGACAAAGTTTTGTGCACATTTGCAATGGAAACGCAGCTATTAGCTTAGAGTCATCCTCAGCACATTCTCTGAGCACCATCATCTTACAAAAATGTGTGAGATTAACTCCATGCCTGCTCAGCACACACAGTTGTTGCTGGTGAAATTATCATGAAGTCATTTTTCTGTGCGGTGTGAGAGGAGCATCTCATACCTGAATCTTCTGCAGACTGGATGAAGCCTCGCTCAGATTCTGAGGAGCATCAAAACATTTGGCCGTGTTGATCTTGGCATTGACCAACCACTGCTGGAACTCTCTGAAAGCTGAGCGAAATACTTGGTCCAGCATCTTCTCTTTGTTCTGGCACTCTCTTGCAGCTTGGAGCCTCAGGCTGGACAACAATTAAACAAACAAACAAGAAGTTTGGTCTATGAATATTGGGCCTCATGCAAGAACATGTTCGTATTCTTCTCCTAAATTTCTCTTACTTTTGTTCGTACAAAGGGTTCGTACKAACATGTCACGTCAGATTCAACAAACTCTTCTATCTTCAGGAAAAGTGTGTAAATGAGCTGCGTAAATTCCACCTGTTCGTATCCAGCTGCTTGTGCACGCGAGAGGAGATTAGCATAATTACCACCCCAAAAACACCATATAAGGCTGTGTTTCCTACGATACAAGGAAGTGTCCATTCATGAAAAATGACAGCGAAAACTGAAAAAATAAAAACTTTACGAGTTCAGAGATTGAAGTCCGTCTGTCAGAGATCCAGAAAAGAAAATCTGTCATTTTTAGCAGATCAGCTGTGGGATAAAAAGAGCTGCTAAAAGTATAAATAAGTGTGTTAAATCATTTTCATTTATTCAGAAGCCGCAGCGCTGCCTGGTAAAATAAAAGTTAAAAAAGAGTATAAGTTAAAGATTACTTTTAATGACTAAAACAGAATTTTAGCTCATTAAATATAAAAATGACAGATTTTTTTCTGTCTCACTCCCATTTCTTCTTTATGCAGTTTAAAGCTCTACTTAGAACCTTTTTATGATCCAACAGTGCAAAATGTGAATTCTTGTCATTTTTTTAACTGGTCTTTTTTGATCCAGAGTGTTTTTGTATTTTTCTGACCTGTTATAATCCTTGATGAGAGCAGACACTCTTTCAGACTGAGGACCCATTTCTCTGGAGAACTGACACAATTCATTGAGCTGAGTCTTCAGTTGATCAGACATCACCTCAGCTTTGATAAGTTCCTCTAAAGTTTCCTGCATGGAAAATGAAAATGAAATGAGAAAAGCCACAAAGTAATAAACTTCTAAATGATTGTTGATTTATGTTGTGGGACTAAGGAAAAAGAAGCAGTCTACCTTTGCTAAATGCCAGCCTTTAACAGCCTCCTCTCCATCAGTTTTTCCCTCTGCCTGGCTCAGGCGTGTTCGACAGTCCTTCAGCTGGCAGCTGAAGTCCTGCAGGCCCTGCTCCAGCTGCGCCGACAGGCTGCTGAACTCCTGTTCTGAGCTTAATATCTGTGAGAGCTTTGTTTCTAGACTGGCACGTGTCTGCAGTGTGGCACGCTCCCACTGCTCCCAGGACAACAGGAAACTTGCTTCCTTTTGCTCCAAAGCCTCGTTGCCTCCTGAACTGGTGTAGTCTCTGGTCACAGCACAACATCTCTGTACACGGTTCAGCCTCTCTCTGCCTCGCTGCTTAGAGTCCAGCAGCTCCTGGACAAAACAAAACTGAATTTAACACATCAAAACATCAACATCTCATGTATCTAATGATGTAGTGGGTTAGTACCGTTTTAGAAAATATAGAAAGTAGGGGTGGGAATAATTTACTGTCTCATAATTTGATTCAAAATCTATTTTTTTTTTCAATCAAAACTCATTGTGAGCCCATTTGTCATGTTTATAAAGTGCTTCATCTTAATTTTGCAAATTTTGCACACAGTGAAGCTCATGTCAAACTCAGACTCATTCAGTAAAAAAACAAAATGAGCCCAAATCTTTGCATTCAATGAAGACAGGGTCAGTTGAATCTCTTTCCTCCAGTTTTGTAGTTCCCTCTTTGTTTTGGTGCTTTCTGCAAATTCATGTGTTCCAGAACCAACCCCATGTGATGTCAGGATGTCCCAAATGGTTACACAATGGAGGCTGACAACCTTTGTATTTACATTATATATATAGATTTTGGGACATTTTAAATCGATTCTGAATCTTTGTAAATGAGAATCACGATTCCGATTTAAAACAATTTTTTGGTGCACCCCTAATAGAAAGTGAAGAAACTCATCAACATCAAACATCAGATAATCAAAAACGACTTTTAAAGGAAGAAGACGTTTTAACTGGCATGCTGTCATGTCCTTACCTGCACTTTACAGAGCTTTCTTTTAATGTTCACAGAGTCTCCTGACAGGTCAGACCAGCGCTGAAGCTCTTCTTTGGCTGAAACCAGCCAGTCGTTGAAGTCTCTCACAGCATCCAGGTACTGCTCATGATCCGACACTATTTTCTGCATGGACTGCACTTTACCCTTCAGAGCAGGCACAAAACACAATAATTACCTCCTACTGTTAGTATGTCAGGTTTATGTGAGGTAAAACATAAATCAATCGATCCTTTTAAAAAATCTAAACCTTTACTGTGACATACATCCTGTACAATCTAATCTAAAATTACTGAGAGCTGATGTGTCTGAGATAAACATGAAGAAAGGACCGAAGGTTGTCAGGGAGGCTGCGGAGAGGCCTACAGCAGGAAGTTCTGCTTCTGTTCTACTTGAAAATAATCTCACGTACTTACAAAAAAATACATCAAGACTAGGGTTGGGTATTGAAAGGGTTTATTTCGATACCGGTGCTAAATCGATACTTTCAAAATGGTACCAGTTCCTAAACGGTATTTAAATCAGTACTTTAAAAATAAATAAATAAAACACACACAGAGGTTTATGAAGCAATAACTATTTCTGAGTCAAAGTCAAACTTTAAATTGACCAACATGTTAACTTAAAACCATTAATAATTAGTCTTTGCACCAAATATTCTTAAAGCATTTGTTGCAGGTGGAAGTTTCTGCATCTTATTTTGTAAAGTGAGACCACACTTTGGACCATTTTGCTTTCGACATCTCTATAATATATATTATATAACTATTAACTGCAGTGGCACCTGTTCAGCCCCTCTCCATGAACTTCTACTCGATTTACTTTGGGTCGGGTCGGTTCTGCTCAGTGTCCGTGTGTCTCTACACAGTGTGTCCCTCACTCTGTCGGTGTGATAATGTGCTCGTATTCCTAAACAAAGGCAGCTCTCTCCAGGAGGAAATTTGCTGTCAGTCAATCCAAGAGTTAATCCATGGGCAGAATTCTGCTGACGTTAAAATCATAAGCGTGCTGTACTCGCTTCTACCCGAACCACCAGAGGGGAGGTTCAGAGACAGCGCGGCTGTGGAGCGCGCTTGGAGACACATTGGGCCGAGACCGAGCCGAGTCGAACCGCGTCCCTGGAGATTGTGTGACGAGGCTGTCACTGTTAACAGTGAACACCAGGGGCCGCAAATTAACAGCTTTGAGGCACTGAAATAAGGCACCAAAGTTAGAGTTGTGTTTCGGTCTGTGTACTACCGTGGATGTTCGCCCCGGTGCCTTACTGGAACCGAGCTTCGGTACCCAACCCTAATCCTAATCAAGACTGGATAAATATGACACCATATGAGTCTCCCATATAATACACTATATGAGTATGTTGGGAAAAAAGTTCTGATCAATCAAAAGTCAAACTTCTCTGCCTCAATGCAAAAGTTCTGTTTGGTTCAGAAACATCAATGAACAGTGTCCACTCCCAAAAAATGGTGGTGGCAGCATCATGATGTGAGGGTTCACCATCACAAACGCTGCATGAGGCCAACAGGCTAACCTCTGTGCAAAAGCAAAGCCACACCCCTGATCGCCACCTCCAACTGCCAGATACACACCCCCAGCTGACCCTCCACTAGACACCAGCAGCCACTCTGGCCAGAGGGCCAAACACGGTAAACAGGAGCCGTGATCCAGAAATCTGAGCATCCTCAGAAGAAACGGAACACCAGCCCTACCCTCAACAGAGGTGCTGATGCATGTTGTTAGTGCATTTAAAATGAGAGAGATGGGGTGGTGCATGAGTGAAGTCTCAATCTGACAGATTAGAACGTTAGGAAAGAACAGATTATGTAAATATTCTTGAAAGCAAATCACCTTGACAACAGCTGATATGTCGGCAAAGCGAGCACTGAGCTCCCCCCTTGACTCAGGTCCAAATGTGTGATCACCAGTTTTCTCATGCATCTCCACAGCTTTCTCCATCAGGTGTGAAAGAACTGCAGCATGAGTGTCCACGTCAGCCTGGATGGCCCTCAGTCGCTCCAGTAAGGCACTCTTCTTCTTTAGGTCGGGTTGTTGAGGCAGAGTCGTCCCCAATTCTTGGTCCACCATATCCATCCACTGCTGCAGCTGACTCTTATTTTCCTGGAAGCTGGTCCACTGGGCCACTGTCCACTCCAGACGGCTGTGAATGATGGGAAATGGTCAATAATATTCTATTATTGTGAATAGTCCAAGAAATGACTGTCATACTGAACTATATATA